TGGGGGGGGGGTTGGGGTGGTGGGGAGGGCTCGGGCTGGCTCGTGGGGAAGTAGAAGCTGCGGCGATCAAACCTGGCCGTACGAGCTCTGAAGGCGCAGATACTACAAGGAGAAACATGCGTGAGTTGAGCCTGTGGCAAGCACGACCTCGCCTCGCGTCTACTTAAAGCGTTATCAGTAGAAGCGCGTGAAGAGTTGGCGATGTTACCTGTATGACGAGAGAGGGACCCGCAGAGACTACTTCCACGGGTATTTTGGAGAGCGGACAGTTCTCAATCGACATGATTTGAAGGCCACAACACATCGCCAGCTCCGACGGCAAATCGTGCAGATTGAAGTTGTCGTTTAGATAGAGCGTCTCCAAACTCTTGAGTTTGCCTACGAGGAAAAGAAAAGCCAGCTACTACTAACAACAACACAAGGCCAATCACGGCCAATCAACGTCAAGGTCGCATCCTAGCCAATGAAAGCGAAAGGTCAGGTTCCGACCAATCACACTTACCGATCGCCGGTGTCAGGCTTTGCAGATCGTTTTCACCAATAGCCAGGTAAACCAGATTCTGGAGGTTTCTAAAAAAGGGAGGGGGAGAGGGGGGAATAAGCTTTTGACTGGGGATGAATTGATTTTATTCGTGCCTTGACGTACCCGATTGAGGGTGGAAGCACGGTCAACCGATTCGACTGCACCACGAGGCGTTGCAGCTCAGCCAGGTTGCCTGAAGCGACGCCAAACGAATCGAATTAGCACCATGGACCACTGACACAACACGCAACAACACCTCCACCACCAACAGACACGACCTTGTCGAACTAACAAAGTAAACGCGTGTGTACAACTACTAGCCTGTGTGCGCGTTTGGGGGCGTGCCGTTGCTATGCTAGGTAGGCAGAAGTGCTTTAGCGTCTACGGCTGACATTAACCCACCGATTTCGGTCGGCAAGCAGTCCAAGTGGTTCTCCTCCAAATCGAGAACCCGCAGTTTACGCAGCTCCTGAATGGACGCCGGTATCCGCTGGAGGTGGGGAAAAATACAAACAAACGTTACTACTAAATTTGATTAAGTAGGCATATTTATGGATGAGCACATGCATGGTGAAGATGGACTTGCCTTCAACAGATTGTTGCTTAAAACGAGCACTTCGAGGTTGAGCAGGTGGTCAATATCGTCTGGCAGTTTGGTCAGCTGATTTGTCCCGAGGTTGAGTTCAACCAGGCTGGTCCACGTCTTCACGTCTAGAACGCAACAACAGCGATAAAAAAGACATTATTATTGATGACACTCGGAAAGGAGGTGGAGAGGAGGGACACACAATCAACCAGGCACACACACACAAACCTGGGGGGAGGGAGGCCAACTGATTGTCCTTCATGTTCAATTTGGCCAAGTTTGAGGCGCGGGAGAAGATACCGAAGGGAATCTTGGTTATTTGATTGTGATCCATGTTGATCTCCTGCAAAACAAATCCAAAGCATTTTCAAACAGTCATTGACCTGATTGGTTTAAAATGAACAGCGCCTATTGGTCGACTCAAGGTCACTTCGTGTGTTGGACCAATTAGGAACGGCGGAATCACAGCACAAACAA